CGCCGGCATCGCACTTGCGAACCTTCTGGCAATGTGATATATATATATATAATTAGCTATTTGAAGTAGTTAAGAGTCAATGTACAGATTAAGTGAACAGAATTTTTCATCTCCGATTTCCTTACAAATATATTCATAACTGAAGTTATCTTTCTCACAGTGCATCTGGTGCGTGTACGTGTGATCTAAATAATGTAGATTTCGCGAAAGAATTCAAACAAGAACAGTAGAATTATCACACACAACGAACAAGGTGCTACCTAGGAGTATATTAAAATTAGAAAGGTACTTCTTGCTAGTTAATACTAGTAGTACCTACCTAATGCAGTTGACCTAGTGGCTTCAACGTGCGACTCTCATTCCTGATGTCGTAGGTTCGAATCCCGGCTATGCGCCAATGGATTTTCCGTCTATGTGTGCATTTAGAATTCGCTCGAATGGTAAAGGAAAACATCGTGAGGAAGCCGGCTTGCCTTAGACAACAAAAGTCGACGGCGTATGTGTACTTATTAGATTGACAAATGATCATGAAACATACAGAAATCTGAGGCTCACACCAAAAAGTTTGTAGCGCCACGGAAGTATTTATTTATTTTTTAGTTCTAGTAAAATAATAATTCAGTTGAATACATTCTTTAATTATATTAAAATGATAGTGAGTAAACATTTTACATCGAGGAATACCTTCAGATCCCATTGAAATACCTGAATGGTAACACTTTCAATGTATTAAGCTTTCACTTATAATTCAAGTCAGATCAGGCACGAATGTCAGCATGTGTTAATAGTTAAACTACTTGTACATAGTGGTGTTTAGTATGGCGAGCTTTTAAGAAGTTCTGTAGCTTACTTTTAGGTCTTTAAAGCGTAAGCCTGATGCAATAAAATAAATAAATCAGTGGCGCCTACCACCTTTTTAGGTCTGGGTCTCAGATTTCTGTATCTGTTTCATGATCATTTGGCAATGTAAAAGGCAGGTAGGTGATCAGCCTTCTGTGCCTGACACACGCCGTCGACTTTTTGGATCTAAGGCAAGCCGGTTTCCTCACGATGTTTTTCCTTTACCGTTCAAGCGAATGTTAAATACAAAAAAAGAAAGCCACAATTCATGCCTGATACAAAACTTGGTGATAAAATAATCTTCGTATTACTAATATTCTAAGGTGCATATCAGTTTTAAACGTGACTCAGACCGATTATATTATCGCTATAAATATAAATTCTAACGATCTTAGCACGTGCTGTCGTGATGTTTACCGGAAATAATAATTGAATTATTTATAATTAATAACCGTGATTCAAATGTGGAAACACGAATTATATTACTATTTATAATACAAATTAATTAAGTTTATTGCGAGAAAAAAAAAGATAATCGATAATAGTAATTTATCAACTGGGACACTTTTTATATAACAGGGGGCTAACGGGCAGGAGGCTGACCTGATGTTAAGTGATACCGCCGCCCATGGACACTCTCAATGCCAGAAGGCTCGCGAGTGCGTAGACGGCCTTCTAAGAATTGGTACGCTTTCTCGAAGGACCCTAAGACGAATTGGTTCGGAAATACATCAGTGGGTAGCTGGCAAAGTTATAGTCTATGTTTACCTGCTATTACATATTCACAAAATTAAGAGATCCAATTTAAATTTGGCCAAAAATACATGCAATATTTTCTAAATAAAAATGTTCATTACGCTTTCAAAATAATACGAATAAAAGCAACGATATAGCTATAAACAATTTTATGTCTCAAACAATCGGCTGTAATCCCCGAACCTTCGAGAACCCTACTGACTTATAAGGGGCCCTTTCTACCCCTTAGGGGATTTCTACCCCTCAATACTGGTATATTGTGGGGTTCTTATTGAAGTGTTTGTAATATGTAAGATACCCAAGATTAAGAAAGTGAAAGCTTTAGAAATTGCTCAAGCTTTTCAAATTCACTGTTTTGTCTAACACGGAGCAGTCGACTTATGATATCGATGACTCAAAGTGGCAAAAATACAATTTTAACGGTTTTTCTAATGAAATGTCTTTTAATATACCAATAATAAAGTAATTAATCTCATAGCTTATTATGTTCCTTGAGGAGACAGTGCAAACCCCAGAGCTCGTACTTATATCTTAATAAATGTAAATTAGTATTTTCTAGACGTTTTAAAGGAATAATTTTCTGGTTTGGTATGGATTAAATTCTTTTGTAAAAATATTTCATATGAAAGCTTTTTTCCAAGGTATCGTGAAAGGAAATAAGGTAATTTCGCTTATCACAAAATACAACTTCAGCGTAACTAGACGTAAAAAGTAGCGAAAAAATATATATATAGAACTTGTATATATACGACTCGTCTTTTGACACCTGAGTGTAACACGCTGGGTTCCAGAAAATATAGAAAAACTTATTATGACTGGTAGGGTGGAGAGAGTACTCGCTGGATGGATAAAGTAAAATCACCCACGCGCAGAGGGTTGCCGAACAGGGGAAAGTGGAGGAAATGGTGAAACCACTAACATGACCTTCAGAAATCGCGCGACAGAAGACTATACCGTAATATATAAGTACACATGGTGATAAATCATTTATTTGGTACTGGTAGAATTCGGAGAAAAAATCGATAAATAATAAATAAATTATTAGTATGTAGGTATATATTATACAATATTTTTTTGTAAAATAATTTCAAATATTATTAAATTGTGAAACTAAATAAATGTAACTATAAACCGTAGTCTAGTAATTAATGTAACCATTATTATGTTAAGAATATTGAAAATATTGTGTATTTGTGTGTTGGAATTAAATCGGTTATATCCATTAAATAACTGCCAATCGTTTCTGAATAAAACATGTATTTAAATGATCAAATAATGCGTACTAACCAATTACGCGCCCGTCTCTTGTTGTGGTCGCAACGATGCGCATGAGTTGAATTTCAATATGTATGGCCATAAAAACTATTTAAGATTAATAAGCTAAGCGAGCCAGCGAGTTAAATATTTAAGTATTGATAAAGAATCCGTCAAATTACCGGAAATATATTCATAAATTAGCCAAGCTGACTTTAGGAAGAGATGGCTCCCTTTACTGGTACTTTCTCTTTTTCTTTAGTTCTCTAATTTAAAGTATGTTTTTAGACAGGAGGCAAACAGTGCAATTGGCCACTTAAAGTTAAGTGCTAATCGCCGCCCATGGACATAAGTAACCCCAGAAGGCTTGCGTGACCATCCTTTAACATAGATTTAAGACAAGTTCAAGAACGAACCGAATCTCTAATCTGTGAATGTCGTTTGACAGATTGGACTGTTAGTCTGCATTATCTTGTCACTTAATTAGCCTCACACCTGAATATTCGAGAAGATTTACTGGTGTCAAATAGTTTTAAACCCGCTATATTTGGTCCATAGAATTCTCTTATTTTATGGCCTCAAGAGTTCGATATACTAAACACGTTTTGAACCAGTTTCGTGTATGCTCGAAAGGAAATGTTCTTTGTTACTCCTAGAAGCGAATTGGACAATTACCTTGACTCCAATTTGGAGTTATCTTTGTCACAGTCACACATACGCGTGTTCGTCGTTGTGGTAACAATAAACTTGCAGTGCTTGGCGAAAAGTTACAAACGTTTATATAATAATAATAAAAGTCCGTACTAAAATAAAAGCATAGATTTGTTGTTACATACATTTTATTTTTCTTGTTAACCTAATATCCTAGCTTCTTTCAGTACCGTTGATCGAAACCCTAAAGGCCTTCCCAGATTTTTCCAAATGTCTCTCGGTGTCCATGGCTTTCTTTCTCCATTCGCTTCCCGCTAACGCTATCCACCTTCCTTTGGAGCGCCCTCTTCTTCCTTGATCTTTTCCGTATGTCATTTCCGGGTGTTAGACAAATCAACGTGAAATTCATAAATGGCGAATGAACGCCAATAAGGAAACTAATTATAAATAATTAAATTCTAAACTGCCAGTTCTCAAAGGAGTAGCTTAGAAAAGACGAGAACTGGCAAGACACACTCTGTCATCGCTCAGTTTTTAGGTTAGTATATTTGTAAGGAGTGTTGACCTAGTGGTTCCAGCGTGCGACTCTCATTCCCGAGGTCGTAGGTTCGATCCCCGGCTGGGCACCAATGGACTTTCTTTCTATGTGCGCAAATGTTAAATCATTTGCTCGGATGGTGATGGATAACATTGTGAGGAAACCGGCTTGCCTTAGACCAAAAAGTCAACGGCGTGGGTCAGGCACAGGGGGCTGATCACCTACTTGCCTATTCATCATTAAACAGATACGGAAATGTGATGCCCAGGCCAAAAAGGGTTGTAGCGCCACTGATTGAACGTTCGTTTGCCTATCTTATAAAAAATATAATCACGATTAAACGCGATTATATTTTAAATACTAGTAAAATTTAACAAATAATTAAATAAGATTTAAATGGTCGTTGTATACGAGAAATAAATGAATATTGGAACTTGTAATTTTAGCCTTAGGTCCTCATAAGATCACTGAACCACTTCGAAAGTCAATGATCTAACTGTATTCGCTATAATAACAGACCCCAGATTGGTGGAACCGGCGGATCGTGACTGAGGACGAATTAAATTACCTTAGAACTACGCTTGGTAACTGTTCAGTCGTGGTATCAACTCAGATAATCAAATAACGTCTTTATTGCATTGTACGAAATAAAAGTATGCGCGAATTCATTGAAGCGTTTAAATACTTCGTCCTACCTATAAACTATGGGACTGTATGTAATACAATAACTTATTTATTTATTCATTTGTTGGATGGTACGTCCTTTCTGTACTGCTCTACGGCGTAGAATCTTGTACGCTGATAGAGAGTCATTTCAAAAAACTGGGAGGGTTTGAGATCTGAGTTTATCCAAGTATAAAATATACGAAACAACCGCGCTGGACAGAATGCAAAACAAAGAAGTGGTAAAGGAAACTTCAACTTGACACGTCTTACGTAACACCAAAAAATACGCCATCAACTAATCATACAAAGCAAAGTGGGTAGTAAAAGGACCTGGCAGCAGACGCCGGTCTTGGTTGAAAATCTTAAACAATGGTTGGGTCAAATCATCAAGTTCAGAAGCAAGATCCAAAATTATAGTAAAACGATGAATTTTAACAAAAATACAAAAACAGACATATCCAGAGATATATGCTAGTATAGCAATCACGCAGGTTAGAAGATAAAATAGTTCACCGATTTCCCCGCAGGCTGAAATAGGTATAATTTTCTCCCCACCCATTGTTTAGGGTTGACACATCCTATTTAATATTCGGTCATAATTATTTAAATCTTTAAACAATTTAATAAATATTATTCGATCGGAAACTAACATGCAGTTGTGACAATTGAGACTACATAATTTCCTAACAGTCATTATCGATAAGGATAATTGTAGTTATAATTTCTCATTCAGTATTGATAAAAATAGTATGTCGAAACAAAAATATAACAGTTAATAATCTTCATAATAAGCGGCTCGTGTCACGTGTCAGTGATTTATTTATAATATCTAAAATATGCTTAAAAAATACAAGAAAATATGACGGTACTAATTTTACACAAATACACATGATTTACGTTCTTTTTTTGGTGCCTTTCCATTATTGGAGGTTGGCCCCGTCAGTCTCGTGAAGCGTGTCTTGTCCTGTGCCAGAGGTAGCAACTCTTCCACAGTCGCAATACCCGTCCACTCCCTAACGTTGCGAGTCATGATTTTTTTCCTTTTCACGCCGTTTATCCTGGATTTTTGTATGTTTCATGATCGTTTGTCTATTTAAAAGGCAAGTAGGTGATCAGCCTCCTGTGCCTGACACACGCCGTCGACTTTTTAGGTCTAAGGCAAGCCGGTTTCCTCACGATATTTTCCTTCACCGTTCGAGTGAATGTTAAATGCGCACATAGTCAAAAAGTCCATTCGAGCTGGGGATCGAACCTACGACCTTAGGGACGAGAGTCGCACGTTGAAGCCACTAGGCCAACATCAATTGGATGCTCAAATCCTGGATTTTACCCATTATAATTAACTAAGATGGTAACGGTGATGGCATGGCACAGGTACGCATATTTCCGTTGTTTAATATCAATCAATTACAGTAGAACATAGAAATTATATAAAAGTATAAAACAAATTTGGTTGGCGTAGACACTCGTCTCTTAATATAGCAAGCATCGTTTAACTTTGGTTTTGGATTCGAACCTCTAGTCTAAACTTTGAAAGTAACAGCCCTACGCATCGTTGAGCCCCTATAGGCTATTGTTATGGGTAATTTCACGCGCTAAGCCCCAAAGCCCGGATGATTTTCTATAGCTCAGTAGTTGTCAGGACTTCAAGATATTTTAAATTCAGTAAATAACTATATTTTTAATAAGTTTACACTACATCAGTCTTCAATAAATAATTCTGATTGCAGGAAAATTCAAAAAATAAATTTCTGATTATTCTACCTTTACCTCAACTTTCATGGGAATTTCATTGTTTTTTTTTTATTATATTAATAATGGAACAGCAGTCTCACTTAACGTTTCAATTAAAAACTCGGTAACAACAAACAGTTATTTAAACTATAAATTAGGGAAAGTTAAATTGAGTTTATGAGTTAGACTGACATTATGTCGGTCAGTGCTCAGGCGCAGAATTAATTATATGGTTCGGTGCTATTCTAATTTATATGACAATGTACGTATATGAGAAATATAAGCCCGGGTTCCAGATTGTTACGCCTCTGTGGTTCAATCGCGCGATTAATATAAAACAATAAACTCAGTGTTGGCATTTAATGTAAATTTGTATTAATTCTATTCAATTTTAATTAACGAAATATAATCATGTACTTAATGGTAACCGCGCATGTGCCACTGTTGTTTCGTTAACTCATTTTATGGTTTACGAAACTTACATGAAATGTCAGCCCGGAGGGGGATCGTGTCGGTGTGAGGCGCGACTAGAAAAATAACATTGTTTGGAGCTTACCGAGTCGGGGCTCCAAGGTGAGAATATCCTTGCAGGATTCGGCTAAGCTGCCTCGGAACAGCCCGACCTCAGCTAACGGCCCGAGCTGAGCTAACAGACCGACCTGAGCAACAGCCTGAGCTGAGCTAACAGTCGACCTGAGCAACAGCTTGAGCTGAGCAAACATACTGATCTGAGTAACAGCTCGAGCTGAGCTAACAGGCCGACCTGAGAAACAGCCTGGGCTAAGCAAACATCCTGATCTGATGAACAGCCCGAGCTAAGCTAACAGTCCGACCTGCACCTGAGCAACAGCCTGAACTGAGCAAACATTCTGATCTAAGCCAATAGCCCGAGCTGAGCTGTAAAAGCCCTTAAGGCCAACAGCGAGATACCATACAACAAACAAATTCATTAAAACTCTGTTTAAAAAACTTATACAGTTATATGGTAATCAGTGAAGTGTAGTGAATCTACAAAGGGAATTAAAGTGTAACAAGTGCGCAACGGAGTATTTCCATTTTCTATCTTAGATCTAGCTTTTATTAGTAAATAATAAATTATTAAAATCATAAGATTAAGTTGACTACAGAAACAGATGTTACTTTTACCGAAAAAACCCAAGGTGTTATTCAATTGTGCATTGTTTTACAACTATAATTGAGAAATGGTTTATAGCTTGACCAAATCATAGACATTTCTATTACCCCTCAAAGGCCGACAACGCAACTACTAAAATGTGTGTCCATTTTCCATTTTTTTGGTTCTGTAGGCTCGTTTAACCCCCTATCATCATAGTATACCCCTTTCACATTGTGCAAAAGTTGCTATTCTTAAATTAATTATATAGGTTTGTATGATAAACAGTTCATGTAACAGACTGCAACTGATATCGTATGCTGAAATATTATACAATAGAGTCACCATACTATGGTATTTTGTAAAATAAATTATAAACATAAAGTGTAGAAGGAAAAATCCAAGAGGAATGCAATTTTTATTATTATTAAAGTGCTTTATATTTTAGTCTGTTTTAAAATCAATAATAATAAATAACTTTGATTACGGTGTTTCATTATTATTTTATTTTCACACCCGATGTTGTGTAATATAAATTAAATATTAAAGAAAATAATCCTTTAAAAGCTGGTGGTTTTTAATTTCAGCTTTGTAAACTCACCGTAGCTTTTTGTAATTTTATTACATATACATCTTTATGTTATTGAAAATGTAATTAAATTTAAATTACTAATAGTATAATTTAACTGTTCTAACATATCTGCAAAGCGCAGCATACCAAGCTACAGGTGAGTCAAAAGATCGATGGAACGATGTATGATAGAACAATGAATAGACAAAATAAAGAATACTCCTTTAAGAAGAAAATCTAAGGAAGCAGATGTTACAAAAAAAAACTAAAGCGAAATGTGCGGGGCACTTGGCAAGAGGAATAGAAAAGTAGAGCAAGAAAGTATTAAATAATAATTAAACGAACAAGAGGAAGACAACTTAGAAGGTGGATAGACCAAATTAAGGAAACAGCAGGTGGTACACGGCAGAAAATGGCACTGTGCAGAGAGGAATGGCGGAATTTCGAGGAGTCCTATGCCAAAAAAGTGCACGCAGTACACGTTATAGAAAGAGATAAAAACATATAAATGTTCTAGTAAAAGTACATGTAAAAGTATCTAAATTAAAAGGCTAATATTATAATTCTAATAATCATATAAATACGTTTAAACAGTATTACGTTTATTTATACATAGATAGGTAATTTATACATATGTAGTAAAAAAATACAATTAAAACCTACCAAATCGTACAACATTGGTACCCTACTGGAGTCAGGAAATGTAGATTAAATTTAGTTCACTAATTAATCTACCTGCATAGTTTTGCACACAATTGCTTACAAACAGTTTGAAACTGAATGCTTTTATAAACACATAATATAGATAGCAACTTTAAGGCGTGCATTTACCACTGCACTTTGGATTTTTCTATTAATATGCGCAATAAATACTTGAAGGAAATCGTCGCGCAGGCACCGGAATGTCTAAAATCAAAAGTCCACAACAGAACATTGCCGCCCATTGCCACGTTTGTTTTATATAAGAATACACTTCAACACTATCTCTAACGACAAAAGAATATATCGTGAGGGAACTGATACCCCTTAGACCCAAACACGGATGGCGTGAGTAAGTCATAGAAAGCTGAACACTTGCAGTTGCCTTTAAAGAAAAAAGCTCCAGAAATAGATGCAGACATCAGAGGCCATAGAGGGTTAATTGTCTCCACAGATTATAATGACATACCTGATGAAGAGAGAGAGATATGTCGGGATCGTAGCAAGATAAGATCCGTGGTCTGACTACCTCAGGAAAAAGGCGAAAATATATAAAATTAAACAACATAAAATGTTTAACATCCACAAATCTGTCTACAATAACATGCGTAATCTAGCAATATGGTATATATCAAACTTTATAAGTGGTACTAATAGAATGGAAAATGTATAGAAACTTCAATTGTAATAAATGCATCTCGCAGCAGATGTTTTAAATTGAACTTAATTAAACCATGAATGAGTTGAGATCATTCATTGCGTAATTACTGCCTTCTTTCCTTTTGCTAATACTGCTTTACATTTGCTGATAACCATTTTTTTTTAATAGTTTGCTCTATCTCTATGGCAGAGAACGGCACAGTGCAGACAGCAATGGCGGGATTTCCCCAAATTCCTTTGACAAAAAAGGGCACGAATATGGAATCAATGAGGTTATAGAAATATAATTAATGTAAATTGTAAAGTATCTGAAAAAAAAACGGGTTTTATTATTACTCTAGCTATAAATTCAAATGAAATCTTTTGATGGTATTTTTAAACGATTTCTTTTTATAAGTTAAGTGATACCACCCATGGCAGAGAGCACGCGGGTGCGTTACCGGCATTTTATAAATTGATTCCACCTTTCAATAGCATCTAACACAGATGACAGATGGCAGCACCGGCCCAGAGATGACTGCAGTACTACACACGAACGGACTAAATAAATGATACGAATTATCTAAGCAATAATCTTTGATTGAACGCACTAATCCGACTTCGCAATAAGAAATTATTTGTTTTGATTATTTATCGATGAATGTGGCAGAAACGTGAAACCATATACCTTTTGACAGCTAGCGCATGATAAAATAAAACAACCAAACTTTAATTAGGTTTAGTTGATTAGCCCTAATCCACTCGCAACTTAGTACTAATTACCATTGTTTTACAAATTAAATTATTAAATAACTAGATAGTAGCGGTGACCCCAGAGCTGGTGCTTTCCTGGCTCAACGAATAAGTATCGCATTACAGCGAGGAAATGCTGCCAGCGTTAAAGGTACACTGCCACTGGGACCAAAGTTTGTCAGCGTTAAAATTTGTTTTTTATTGTTATTATTACTATGTAGGTTAATGTTTAAAGAACTTTATTTCTCATTACAAAAAAAATATTTTTATTTACATGAGAACATTACACGTATATACGAACGAGATACACGTCGACATCAGCCGCAATTTTAGTCTAGGCTCATTCTGATATGTGTCTTTAATGGCCTTTTGAATTGGTTAAACGCGCTAATATTACGAATTTTAGACGGTAATTGATTAAATAATTGCATACCCACATACTTAATAGACTTCTTCAAATAATTTTTTACGCGGCTAAGTATTTATATTAAATATTTGTAGGTTGTAAATACTGTATATATGTGTGTTGGAAATAAATACATTTCACCCGTTAATTTAGTCATAGTTTAGGACTTTTTCAAAACAAAATTTGCCTTTCTTAACTTGATAATTCTCAACAGATGCTTCGATAAGAAACGAGAAAGAACGTTTCAAGACGGATCTAAAATCCCAAGCAAACACGACCCTTGTACGGTCATGTAACTGGTTTCGAATAGTGTAAATTGCTTATTGTGCAACACCAGGTGCATCACTGCATCTGTCAGAGTAACACAACTGTACTTGAACAGGAAGCGACATTAAATTCAGTTTTATTTAATATCAAAGGAAGATCGAGTTCCTACTTTGATTTCGAGAAATAATTATATTTATTTAACAGGTGACCCTAAATCGACAAGAATGCATAACCTATGAAAAAAATTACACACGAATGAAAAAACAAAATTACATACAATAAAAATTAGCGAACTACTATAGGCACTAACAAAAACATGTGTTTATTCATTTGACAACAATTCATTATAATGAGTAATGTGTAAGATGATGAACCCTTTGAAGTAAGCAAATACCTTTATTAATTTTGATTTTTCAACTGTTTTCAACACGCATGAGTTCGTGTTTGGGTGCATGTTAGTGAGTGAGTGAAAGAATTGTGTTACTACATATAAGTGTGAAGAGTATCTTAAAAACCTAAAATAAAAAATCCAGACATCGAGTACTATTTCTATAGCATAGGTGTGTGATCCAATATTAAACCCGCACATCTCAACATTAATAACCTCGCAATAACTGTCGCGTATCACGTATGCAATAACAAATCTTGTAATCCCATCAATAAAATATGCCCTTAATCTGATGTCATAGGGTATTAGGGTTGTCCAAAGGCCCATAATGTTTACCCTATATGGTCTACTGTAAATCGTTATGGGTCTACGTTATTCAAACTTAAGGGTTGATGTTTTAATATTACAACTATAATAAATAAGCGATCGTGAATTACAATGGACTTCAATTACGGCTACGGGTGTGTAGTAGGCCTTTTTTATTAAATTTATTTTATGTAAAACTGCCCATAGACTGGTCAGTACCAGTTATGTTAACAAATAAAATAATAATAAAACAGTGGCGCTACAACCTTTTTAGGTCTGGGTCTCAGATTTTTGTACCTGTTTCATGATCTTGTCAATCTAATAGGCAAATAGGTGATCAGCCTTCTATGCCTGACACACATAGCTCACATAGAAATATCGTTAATTTAAAAAATAAGCTATAAATTAAGTTAAAAATAAAAAAACAAACCAAAACACTTTTTTAATTCCAATTGCAGGTAAATTTAAAAATGTAAATTTAAAATTAATTACAACGGTTAAAGCTCTGCCTTGCCTTTGATTACTTAAAATTATTAAAACATCTCCATAAACAGTACAAAGCTTTCCTAAAATAAACTA